ATACAGTTTTGTGGTTGAGTCATCAGCGCTGAAGTACATGTCTAGTCTCAAGTCACCAACGCTTTTGTAGCCACATTAATTAGTCCTGCACACTGCATTTCTTTTTTTCAAACTTTAAAGTTGTGGGAGCACTGAAGTAAAACGTTTTTGGTCACTGTTGTTACCTACAAAGTGGCTTTATTTCTAAATATGGTTCAGCCTGCTGCCATAACATCTTGCTCTCCTTTCCGCATGGCCTCAAGTGTGTAGGTGTTCAGGTGTCACCCAGGTGTACAAAAGGAAGAGAAGTTCCCCTTTTATCTCGTTATGTGTTTTTTTTTTTTTGTTGGCATCTGTAGTTTATTATTCCAAATTTATGTGGTCACATGTGGGAGCAAGTGCTGATCCTGTCATATTAAATAAAATATGAAGATTAGCCATCGTTATAAGTTACAGGTAAAGGAACTTTTTCTTTTCATTTCACTGGGGAAGATGTATAAACATCTCTCTCTCTCTCCAGTGGAAAGATTTGCAGTGGAGAACAGGAAGAAATAACAGATAGTACATCTATTTTGCTGGGGAGGATTGATCTGAATACTTCCTTTGATTCCCTGTTTGGTACGCACATGTCGTTGGACGGGGTTTATAGGAACTCTGTGTGAATCCGAGATCTCTGAATCACCATCGACGCAGCGCGTCTTCATTCGGCGCCATGCTGTTTCCGTGGCTGCGAAAGAGAGCGTTTTTGGCCTCGCACCAAGGAAAGGGGGAAGCTTTACCTTGTCACTCGTGCAACCATAGTGACAGATTTTTCAGATATGGGACAGCACAAAAAAATTAGATGTTGAAAAGAACGTCCAGATAGCACATAATGTTAGTGCCGCCGACAGTGTTTTTACATTAAGGTGATTTAAGTAATACTGCATTTTTATCATTACTGCCAAAGCATATTAAAAAATGGCATATTAAATTAACTTTCTATAAGTACATCCTTTTTCCATTATGTTTTGCTCTCTGCTAACACCCATCCTGATCCTTTTTGTGAACTTACAGTTGTTGAGCAAGATTCTGGCACGCAAAAATCAGAAATGTTCCCTAACCATCCTGTTTTCTTGAGGTCCATGTGTCTTGGACCGGCTGTGGTATCGTTAGACTTTCAGGACCTGTATTCCAGTCCCAGTTTATGACCTAGAAGGTTGTCGGCCTGTTAATCATGCTTCGCAGTCACATGGTTTACAGTGCACCTCCCGCAGCTGGTCGAGTTTGAAATGTAGATGCTGTGCTGTTCATTTTTCATATTCCTCGATTTACGTGGGAGCCCTGCCTGCTTTCTGCATATCTGCGCCTCGGGACGCACTCTGCTGGAGTCGCCTGTCTCAGACACGTTGACTTTTTACGGCCTACGTCTTCCTCAATGTCCTGTCCAAGCGCCACATAAAAACAGAGGCCAAAAGCAGTATGTTCTTGACGTAGCGTCGCTGAGATGGTGCCAAGCTGGCCAGTTTAGATAAAAGGGTCCTTCTGAATGGGATGAAGCTTTTCTGGACTTCACGGTCACTCCTGCATTTAAATCCCATGGTCCAATTCACCGTGTGCTCCAGCTATCCAAACAGTCTGCATGTTTATTATGCTATGAAGTCTGGTATCTATTTTTCCCTGCTTTTCCAAGGGTCGTCTGGCATCCTCTACGTTTTTTAAAGGCATCCTAAGAAGCAGAGTATTGGGGCTGTAGATTCAAACCCAGGCGAGGGAAGCAGAGGTCTTTTCCAGCTGTTTTTATTTTTTTGTCAGGCATCAAAGTGCGGTGCATATGTTTTTTTTTTTCTGCATTTTCTGTGAAGTGCTACAAGGGAGCTGGAAGCCTTGGTTCCATGTTTGATGACTAACTGACAGTTCAGTGTGGTGTTCCCCTGTGAAACTCCAGTCTCCATGCTTCTGGGCTGGTGAGCAGATGTTGTACCCAGTGAGAGGCTGTGCAGATTGGACCCCTGTGCCTCCTCTGCTTTCCACAGGCCTTTCCGAGGCTTGGTATAAAGATCTGTTTCCGTGCAGTAGGATGAGCCCAACTTTTGCTACAGATTTGTCTTCCTCCGTAGTGGATTTTCATTTAGCCAGGCAGCGAGGCTTCAGCACCGTAATGCTTTGCTCTGGACTTAACATTAAAGCCCCTCGGTAAGTAGGACCATAAAATGACTTAAAATCAGAGCGTGGCTCATCCTGCATTGTAAGGATGTGTTGTTCTGGAGATTACAATTCTTTTTATGCTGTGGCAAGACTTTGGCTGGATCATCTATTAGAGAGTTATGGAAATACCATATGTTTTGTCACTAGAGTAGTGGAAGTTAATAAGAGGAAATAAGTTGTTTTTTCTTGTGTGTGTATTCATGCACCTGTAAGTTTAATACAGTATTTCATATACAGCACCAGACAAATATCTGGACACAATGCTTTTCTTTATTACAGTTTGGTTATTCATCTTATAGTAAAATGCCTCAAGACAGTGAAGTAATGCATATCATATATTGCAATGACCTGGAGAAGTGTTCAGTATCTCAAAGGTGTAATATCTCAAAAGTGTTCTCCAGTGTTAGACCCTTCAAGACAGCCCCTTTTGCTTTGATGACAGCATTGCAGACTCTTGGCGTTCTTTCAACCAGCTTCCAGATGTAGCCACCTGGAATGCTTCTCCTACAGTCCTGAAGGAGATTCCACAAGCTCTGGGCACAGGTTGGCTATTTTGCTCTTACTCTTTGATCCAGCTCATCCCAAACCAGCTCTGTAGGGTTTAGGTCGAGAGATTGGGGGCCAGGTCATCTGTCACAGCATTCTCATTGTTTAAAAATATAATATTTACTACATAACCTCAATGTGTGCTTGGGGTTGTTATCTAATTGAAGAAACAAATGTTTTTCAGTAGATATGTTCAGACTTTTGACTGTTACTGTACGTGTAGTTTAAATTTGCATGGCCCAAAGAGATAAGCTGTTATTGTTGGGAATGTGACATATAATGTGAAGGTGCCATTGCGAGTCACGTGACAGAGTCTGGGAGTGACACCTCGGAGAGAAAGCAGGAAGGAGCATTAGAGGGGACCTGGTTGAAGCGGTCATCCCGAAAGGATTGAGGAGTGGAGAACATTAAGCTAGGCACGGGACGTTTTACGCAGAGCAGAAAGCAATGAGCAGATTTGGGGGGGGGCAGGGCCTCTTGTGTCCACTGGTTTAGAGATGTCTGATGGGTGTCTCATTGTCTCAGGAATAAGTGTTTTATAAAGGGTGTTGATCACAAAGGAATATTTTTTTCATTGGGGTTATTGGTGTTCATTTCAGTTTTTTTTGTTGTGTCACACTGGACTTCAAAGGTGATGATATTAATTCTAATATAAACTATATTTAACGGATGTCACCTGGTTTCAAGTACAGTTATGCTCGTTTTTCACAAAAAGTGCTCAGGGCAAACATTCAAATGTGTCCTCTGTGTTGATTTAAGATCTGCGATAATATACGAAAATCTACACCTTGTCAGATTAGCTTCTCAAAATGTAATCAATGCTGCAAAAGTGAGATGGATATCTTGCCATCTTGTTCTAATCTGTCCTTAACACAAAAAAGGACTTTCCAGAGAACTGCGTCAACATCCTTGGAACAGACCCTCCATTTTGTACAGATTAATATGAATTTAAAAGATTACGACACTTGAAGAGAATCGCTGACTGATTTGGCGTTTTGGAAAATGGCACCTTTTATTACAGCCATGTTGCTTAATCTCCCGGCGGCTTGTTTGCTGCTGCCATTGTAAATAAATGCACGGTCTCCTGATTGAGTGCATTGCTCCAGGGCTTTCATCTCCACGCTCCAGACAAGCAGAGACTCTGACATTTACATTCAGGTAGGGAAATGATCTTGAGAATCAGGCCCTGCCGTTACAATCCCAAGTGTTAAGCTTGCTTTCTTTAGTTTCCTTGGTTACGGAACTTATAAATTCTCCCTCTCCTTGTGTGCGTTTTAGGCTAGTCTGCGAGTCGATGTCCCTGGCTTGCGCTGTATTGAATGACAGGAGAAAGTGACTTGCATTAATAACCGTCTCACTCGGGCAGAGCCGCAGTGCCGCGGCAAACGATATGCAGACGACGTTGGTAATAAGTTGCATAATTAAACTGAAGCCTTAAGGTAAAACAAAGAAAAAGTTATTCTCAGGGTGACTGGTGTTTGGAGCACAGAAACCTCTGGCCTGCGTGCTCTATATTCATGAAGGACATGTGTTCATGAATTATTTCAAGAGATTAAAATATTAAAAGGTTACATCATTCGAAGTTGTCAACTGGGGGCAGCTTGGTTTTGTAGTTTTGATGTTTTAAGCTGTTTAAGCTATTTAGCAATATGCTAACGTGTGCCGCTACACTGCGGATGACGAGCATTCAGCTGCTGGGGAGCTTCGCAGCTTTTTTTATTACTCAATTGTCCTTCTCAGGTTAACATTTTAAGATGTAGATTAATATCCATTTTGGTATTATATCATAAACCGGATTGTTAGAGCGCCTTAGGTGTTCGTTAGAAAGGACAGCGCAGCGCTTTGGCGATGTCGAGTTTGGGAATGTGCTGATCATGCTGTCATTTGAAGCCTTTGCTTGGTCAGCTTCTTTCAGAGGAGAATATGCCTCCCATCGGAAGAATAGCCTCTGGTATGGGAGGTGCCCACTTTGATTTGACGTCATCACTGGGATTTCACTGTTGATGAGTACTAATGTCTACAGCAGGTGCAGACAACCCTGATCCTGGAGTGTTGGTATCCAGTAGGTTTTATATCCTACCTGATGATTTACTATCGGCCTGAGATCAGGTGTGGTTCATCAGAGACCAGGTGGGAAAGAAACTTTGCTGGAAATCAGCACTCCAGGATCAGGGTTGCCCAACCATTGTCTACAGTGTGTTAATTGGCTGGTGTTTATAGATGGCGTTGAGGGCCATGCCCACTATGTATTTCTTGGTGTTTTCCTGATGGTCTCTCCCTTCCTCTTGCAGCTGATAGTGGAAAAGACGACTGACTACCCTTCCACAGAGTTCTCACTGGTGGAGGATGTTGCCCTCCATTTCACGTGTTTGATGGACAGATTGAACGAGCAGCGTCTGTTTCAGCCCAACCTGTGTGATGTGGACATAGTGCTGGTGCGTCAGAAGAACACCTTCCAAGCCCACAAGGGCGTGTTGGCAGCGTACAGCCAGTTCTTCCATTCGCTCTTCACCCAGAACAAACAGCTCCAGCGGGTGGAGCTGTCACTAGAGGCCATCACCTCACAGGGCCTGCAGCAGATCCTTAACTTTATCTACACCTCCAAGCTGTTGGTCAACGCCTGCAACGTGCAGGACGTGCTCAACGCTGCTGCCGTGCTCCAGATGAGCGACATCGCCACCTCCTGCCAAGATCTCATCAGCAGTCGCTCCTTGGTCCTCAGTGCTGACATGGCCAAGCATGATGGGCGTGGAAATGCCCCCTCCCAGTTCTATCGGGAGATCAAGCAAGAGTTGGACCCCCTCCACACTAAACTCTATGCCCGAGAGGGTAACAACCCTTACTCTGTACGTGTAGAAGACTGCACAGGGAAGCCACACCCCATTCAACCTAAGCAATACTTCAAGAAGGAGGAGGGTGGTGAGGGTGCTGGGCGCCTTTGCAAGATCGAGAGCATTGTGCAGGACTTGGAGGACTCTGACAGCCATTCGTCCTTCAATCGAGAGCAGATCATTGTGGAAGTCAACCTTAACAATCAAACGCTGAATGTTTCCAAGGGCACTGAAGGCAAGACCACCTCAAAAGAGTCTGCTGCTATACTAGGCCGAAGTCGTGGCAAGGAGCAGGAAATGGAAGAAGATGAGGAGGAGGAGGAGGAGGGCAATGAGGAGGAAGAGAATGAGGAGGAGGATGAAGATGCAGAACTGGAGGAGGAGGAAGATGAGGAGTATCAGAGTGAGGAAGAGGACCTGGGGGACTCTAGCGAGGAGGAGGATGAGGAGGAGCCGGAGGAAGATGGCCACAACATTCCAGAGGCGAAGATTGAGAGGCCTCGGCGACAGACCAGGGCCTCTAGAGACACCACGGCGACCGTCTCCTCTCAGCAGACTCTGAGCATAACCATGAGGGCAAGCAAAGGTCGGGGGCGCAAGACAAAGAAAGACCAGGAGGGTCTAGGCCAGAAGGTCAAGCTGGAAGAGAAGCAGCACTTCCCCTGCATGAAGTGCCCACGTGTCTTCAACAACCGCTGGTACCTGGAGAAGCACATGAATGTCACACACAATCGCATGCAGATCTGTGACAAGTGTGGCAAACGCTTCCTCCTGGAGAGCGAGCTGCTACTGCACCGTCAGACCGACTGCGAGAAGACTATCCAGGTACCCTGAGTGAGAAAGATGTCTGGTATTGGGGGAGAGCTGGGGTCCGACAATGGGATTCCTCACAAGCCGTAGGCAGGTTTAGATATTTTTATATGTTGGTGCTAGATACAGTTAGTCACAAATCTCTCATACCAGACACAAACTTAAAACTGAGTTTGAACCATAATTGGGGGAATAGGTTGCTCATCAGAGTTCTACTTAAACAAAAATGTTCTGAGGGCAGAACGAAAAATGACTAGTTCAGAGAGAGAAGGTGGATCCAAGCAACCAGATGTATTAGTCCCACCTCCTGTAGTTGCTTGGACCCACCTCCTCTACATTCTAATTGGTTGTCTCTCTCAACCAATCATTTTTCGTTCTGTCCTTAGAACATTTTTGTGTAAGTGAAACTCCCAAAAGCGAATGGGTTTCTCTGGAGTCTGGTACCTTAAGCCTTCGTGAATTCCTTGATTTAAGAAAGCTTAAAGCAATCATAATTCACTGAAATTAGTATGAATTAAGGTTGCTGTATCGCTGGTTGTCTTTGGTCGGCATTAATGTCACCAAGTGGCATGTTTTTGGAACCTGAGTCGCTGCTGTTAATTGGTACTGATTTTGAAATACTGTAATGCGAGTTTAATTACCAAATTCTTAAAGGGGAAGGCATTGACTTGGAAGGTATAGTTATTTTCAGTGATGAGCCCCCAAAAGTCAGATCAGGTGTGGCGAATACGACACATCGTTTTTTGTGGCTCATGCTGCTTCTCTTGGGCCTCCAGTGTGTCACCTGTGGCAAGGCCTTTAAGAAGCTGTGGTCTCTCCACGAGCACAACAAGATCGTCCACGGCTATGCAGAGAAGAAGTTCTCCTGTGAGATCTGCGAGAAGAAGTTCTACACGATGGCGCATGTCAGGAAGCACATGGTTGGTGAGTATGGTCATTAAAACTGAAGACCGGTGTCTTTACATTGACTAGGATGGACATTTTGGGCATATTCGTCCAGCTTTGTCCTCTTATTGTCATCAATAGCTTTCACTACAGGGTATGTTTAATGGGTTCCTTCTAGACTCTCTATATTTCTGAAACAACTGAATAATAAAGCTTTTTATAAAGGTCAATTTTTAGCATGTCCTTGCCTTGTCTAATTTTTTCCAATGTATTAATCAGGTTCGCTTAGATTTCTTTAATATGAAGATGTTTCTTAATCATCAGGTGATTCGCCGTCTTGGCAGAAAAAAGGACATCTGCGTTTCCTTTGATCGCTACAGTAATCCTCCCTGTACGTGCGGCCCAATCGTAAATCAGCTCCTCCGTGTCCTGCGGGGTTTTATCTGAGGTCGTATTCGCCGGTGAACCTGCAAATACGGATGTTTTGCGTATTACCAGCTCGGAAGCCGGCTCGTCTCGAGGCGGATTCTGCATGGAGAGCAGCGCCTGTGACAGAAATAGGTTACGCAAAATGAATACCCGGGCTGCATGGGCCGTGAATGTTCAGAGAAAACAAATGTCTTGGGGGAGTGCGGTGCCATTCCGTCATTCTGCTCCGCTCCGCTAAGGATCAGCCACTTGATAACCTGGCTCCTCCATGCCTTCTGAATCACTGGCATATATGTGGTGTGTAGCGCTACTGTGTTCATCAGCATCAGCAGCAATAGGCTTCCTTTCGCAGGCAGATATATGAACATGCTCACTCCCCCCCCCCCCCCTGGTTTTTTGCTGTCTTCAGTCAAGCCAGAGGGACGACAAATAGCTTTGTTTTCTCTCTACTCGCTCATTAGAAATTCAAATGATTTAATTAATCACAGATTTGTACTTGACTGTGCAGTAGCAATGGGAGGAAACACCTCAGAGGAATGATATTAGAGTTGGATTCGAAAAACAAGCTCTGTGATTTGGTTATCTGCAGCTGCTTAGTGTTCCCGTCGCTGATGAGAAAACCAAACCAACCGGACTTTATTTCCAGTCCATAATCGTCGCACGGGGTCTGTCCCACCCTTCTACAAAATGGCCAGCTTGATGTTCCTCGGACCGTGTTTCCGGACCTGGCCACTCCTGGGTCACCACCGGACTGATATCTCCCACGCAGTTCCCCGGGAGCATGAAGGCCTGCTTTAGCAGCTTTCTGCCACTAGATGGCAGCAGGCTGGCCGCCAGCAGCCCAGTTCCAGCACTGCTAAAACGCTCTCTGAATGTATATGTGTTTAAGAGGCATCCCTGTCAAATTAGAGCTCTTCCTTTGGACTCCATTTGGTGGGCTCATTGTAAATGTCTTGTATCGCTGCCACACTAAGTGAGTCCCGGCTGGTTTTCTTTTCACTCCTAATAAGCCATTTCGTCTTACCGTCGCTGCAGCGGTTTTGACATTAATATGGTAATTAAATATCTGCGCGCTGCGCGGAAGGAACTGCCTACGGCCGCAAATGGGTTTATTCCTAACCAACAGGGGAGGTTCTGGGGGGGAAGGGGGCCAGTGCCTCTGTGACAACATGCATGCCCCCCCTCCCTCCCCCCCGGCCCCCTAAGCTACTTGGGTCTGAAATAAATGTATTTTATTAGTTTATTATTATTATTATTATTATTTATATTTATATATTTGGGCTAAAAGTTGTGCGCTGAGAACAGCCAAAACACTAACGTAAGCATATTTTCTTGACGGATTCTCCGGGGCGCCGGGTCATCCAGCTGCTTCAGTTGGTGAAAAGCAAAGTTAACGACAGAAAAAAATAATCAAGCTTGTGGAAGCAAGACAGTGTAAACAAAAAATCAAAGTGAGTTACATATTTGTAAAAACTGTAAAATGTATAAAAAGTATTCCATAAATAACTTATGCTTCTTAATGCTATCTTTTGCTTCTTAATGCTAACAATCTAGTGTAAGTAACACTTGGAGGACATTAAGGTCAAATGCATCTGCCCCCCCCGAACAGAACAACTGGCCCCAGTCTGGCCCCCCAGTTAGTCTAGAACCTTCACTGCTAACCAACCAATCTGTCACATCTGCTCTCCTGTGACACCAACATGTTAAAGCACACTTCTCCTTTGCCGTGAGGCCTAATGTATTGCTGGTCATGTTTTTCGTTTAACTCGAGCGTCGTCTTTATCCTTCTCCCATATTTCCCGCAACCCTACGCCCACCACCTTCAGTCTGCATATTTCGCATGAATAAATTTAATTAATTGAACGAGTGAGCATGTTTTGGAAATATCCAGTATCAGGGGTACTGCAGGGTAAGGGGTTAGGAAATTACATTGGTTTATTTTTTTGTAAATTATTTAATATTTCTGTGCCATTTCCATTATTATAATTATGCAATTATTTTACGGATTTCATTTTTAAAACAATTTCATATATTTATGTTATCTGCAAATTATGTTTTATGTAAATAGTATGAATATAAAGTAAAGAATGTGTATTTAATCAAACACTCTGACTGAATTAGACTATCAAATTAAAATGCCCACATTTGCCTTAGGTGTGTAGTAGGCCATGTTGAGATTTTAGATTTTTAATTATATTGTATTAACTGTATGGTTAATTTTTAAATGGATGTTTAAAGTGGTCCCTCATTGTATCATTTTTCAATGGTGAAATGAAGGACCAAACAGGCTCCCGACAAACAAAAAAGACAGACTGTCAATACAACAACATATTTTAATCATTTTTATTATAACACCTTCTGAAGACGATGGGAAATGTAAACTATACAGACTGTGTTCTGGGATCAGTTCAACATGCCTGCATATCGGCCCAAATGAAGTTCATCACACTGTGTTTCCCGTTACAGAATGTGGTCTCCAAACGTTACCCCACCAGCGTTCGGTCCCCTCGGTCCGCTAGCATGTCACTAAATGCCGTTTCTGTGTTCCCAGCTCACACCAAGGACATGCCGTTCACGTGCGAGACGTGTGGGAAGTCCTTCAAGCGCAGCATGTCCCTGAAGGTGCACTCACTGCAGCACTCGGGGGAGAAGCCCTTTAAATGCGAGGTGAGGCCTCCGCCCCCTACACACATTCACAAAGAAAACCCCTTCCCAAATAATTTCCATGACTTCACTGAGTATATGGAGGTTTCCTACATCAGCTGTCAAGGCCAGACTTGCGCACTAGATAACCCAGGGTGTAGCCCAGGCCCCGAGTTGTACGGGGCCCCAACTTTTTTTTTCCTGATTGTTTCAGCAGTATGTTATGCTGCAAGTAGGGCCCCAATAATGACTTGAGCCCAGGGGCCCCCACCCCCCTAAATCTGGCCCTGGGTACCAGTCAATTTTTAATATGGTTTTGTAAACCCCACTCCTCATGTATATTTTATATAAAGTCATGCTTCTACATAAAAATTAATTAAAACTGTAAATCCTTAACTATTTTGCACTTGGATGATAGCATCATTGGGTCTCCTGAATGTGGAAGGGGTCGTTTTAATGACATCCCAATCCCCTGAAGGCCCCATGCTGTCTCAGGGTGTCCGATTGTCATCCCCCCCCCACTTCCCGCCGGAGCTTCCCAATTCAACATCTCCCTCTCCACCCCCCCCACCCAGAACTGCAGCGAGCGCTTCCAGTACAAGTACCAGCTGCGGTCCCACATGAGCATCCACATTGGACACAAGCAGTTCATGTGCCAGTGGTGTGGCAAGGACTTCAACATGAAGCAGTACTTTGACGAGCACATGAAGACCCACACGGGTAAGATGCTGGGTGTCCCGCGTGTGTTAAGGGGGGGGGGATCCATCAGGGCCCACCTCGCCGCCGCTCACCCCCCCCACCCCTCCTTCTCCGCTGTAGGCGAGAAGCCGTACATCTGCGAGATCTGTGGGAAGAGCTTCACCAGCCGGCCCAACATGAAGCGGCACCGGCGGACCCACACGGGCGAAAAGCCATACCCCTGTGATGTGTGTGGCCAGCGCTTCCGCTTTTCCAACATGCTCAAGGCTCACAAGGAGAAATGCTTCCGGGTCAGCAACCCCACCACCTCAGAGGCAGGCCTGCTGGGCCTGGGCCCTGCCTCTCCGGTCTCCGGCTCTGATGTGGTGGCCAATCAGGTGGTGCCGGTCATCTCGCCCATGACAACTGGGGAGGCCCGCCACGCAGCCCCTCTCTCCCTCCCCTTCCACCCGATGGCAGGCCTCCCCCCTCCATCTCACTTGCCCCCTTTGCCGCCCCTGTTCCCTGCAGGAAGGATTAACTCAAACGACAATTAATAAATCCATTTTTTCTTAATGTTTTTCTCACTAATTCAAATCTGGATCTCCTCTTTGATTATTTGCATTAAGGGATCGTGAAAAACACGAAAATCTAACTGAAAATCATCAAGTGACATTTTCCCCATCAGGGGTCCCACTTGCATTTGTGACACCTGCCCTGAGAATATATCACATATACAAACATATACATACCAACTTTTATAGAAAATATATTGAAATAATCAGATCTTTAATCCTTTTTTCAGCATCGTCCCTTTTCTTTTTTAACCCACAAATATAAGCTATAGTTTAATGCCATTCTCTGGTCAGCTTTTTTTGTGTCAGTCATCCTGGTAACAGGGATTTTTCTTTGAATGAATGGAAAACAAGATGGAGACCATATTTTTTGAGTTTTCGTTTGTGTTTCCTTCCTGTTGACGCCTACGCAAGCCTTGGCCTCCAGCACACAAGCCCGCAAAGATACGTCTTCCTCTTCCCCCCGTTTGGTCTGATTGGTTTCTGCCAAAAAAAAGTGTTCTGGTTGTTTTTGGGTAAATGTTTTTCCTAATGGACAGAAACACTCAACTTGTCCTTTGTGGTTCAGCCAGCCATGTACGCAAACAGTCGAAGTGCAGCAGCATCAATGTGCAACAAATGGATTTGTGTCTATTTCAGTTTTGGTACTGAAACTATATCGCCTAATCTTTTGCTCCAGTTATTAAAGACAAAGCAGTACTTCACTATATTTTGTATTAAATTGCAATAACTAGATAATATGTGCTTACCTTGCTGGACAGTACAGTTTTTATTAATTATTATTCAGTACCCTTTAAATACCCCATACAGACACGTCACTTATTTGGCGTATTTTTTTACTTTAGTTCTGATTTGTTGGCTGTAGGACTGTTTCTTGCTTGTAGGCTTGACGTTTTTTTCGGGGTATCACAGTGTAAGTAACCGGGAAAGAGAACGGAGGACAGAATTGCGTTTGTGACCGGTTCAGTGTAGCACTATGATCCATGGGGGTTTGTAAAAAGCAGTTATTTACTGCAGCCACTTTACTCAGCTGTCTTTGGTAGCTGAAGCTTAACCGCGCCAAGCTAGTCGAGCTTCCAACCATAGCCAGGCTGACGTTTATCTTTTTTTCTTGGCTTATGTTAAGCAATTGTTCCTTTTTTTTAATTTGTTAATCAACTTGGCACTTTTTAAAACCTTTACGTGGCTGTAACACTTAAAGAGAGTTTTATTTCCTAAAGGGCTTGATACCCTTTTATTTAAATCGGACAATAAAGATGCCAGTGTGTCTGTAGGATAATCGGTTCTTATTTAACCTTGAAGTTGTAAGTAAGAAATAAATAGCATTGACCCTGACATCTTATGCTCTTACAAGCGTAACATGTGTGCTTCTCTTACTTTTGAAATTTGTATGTCGATGCAGTGAAGTTTAACGGCACTTTAGCCAGCTGGCAGAGATACGAAATCCCTGGGGTTAATTAGTAGGCCTATTACCTTTGCCGCAGGATGGGGGGGGTGTATTATCTGTTCCAGGGCTCTTCAAATCTGGCCCTCGATTCCAAATCCAGGCCTTGTTTTCCATTCTTGCAGGTAGTTAGTTTAATAATTACTGATTCTTATTGGCCAGAGGCTTCACATCTGGCTCGCATGTAAAGGGAGGCTGGAAAATCAGCAGGACTCGGACCATGAAGGCTGAGATTTAAATAGCCCTGATCTATTATGTTACATATTTTGTTTCCCAAGATCATGTTTTAAGTCCTAAGGATGTTGCACGGCTTCTTGTTTATAAAGTGTTCTTAATTTAGTATCGCTTAACATTTTAGTCGTGTAGAAAAAAATCTGTGTTTTTGTTTTTAATATCCATAAAGCAAAGGTGGGTAGTTCAGGTCCAGAGAGTAAAAGTCCAGAACAAGATTTTGTTTCAACCAACCAGTTGAGTATAAAGAGTCACAGTCACGGAGTACTCAACTGGTTGGTTGAAACAAAATCTTGTTCTGGACTTTTATTCTCTGGACCTGAACTACCCACCTCTGCCATAAAGTAATACATTTCCTTAGATTCTAAAGTTTAGAATGGATCATATTTTGTGTGAATTGCTTTATAAACCACACTGTTAAATATAGGAGATTGCCTTTCCCTTAAGACAGGTCTGTAGAAACAGAAATTTCCACGAATTACTAAATCCGAGCTTACATTCATTACTTATAATTGCCCTGTCGGTTTTGTTAGTAAAAATGATTCTGCTGTTGATCTGTTTTTCCAAGATGTCTTTGGCTGCTGTTTGGAATTTATATTATAATCTATATCATAACAAAGCTTAATATGAAATACGACCAACTTTAAATTTATGAAAATATTCTGTGAAGAGGAGAGCACTTAATGCATCGTTCGTGTCGGTGTGGGATTACTGCTTCTTAATGGATTTTGGTTGTGGTCTGTGTACTTTGGTCCCTGCAGTTTGGGAGATATCACCCATTAGTGATAAACTAACAGCCAGGTGGTTCAGGGACAGTGTAAGGTTATTCGTATTAAAGCTTGTAAAAGCTAAAATATTTTTGCTATATTTGGCCCTGAAATTGGTAATTATCATCAGTGGCCATAAGTGCAGAAATTTGTAAGTTTATACAGAAATGAATATGACATGTTATTACAAGTAAAATGTAATTAGCTGCGAGTATTCCACTAAAACTTATAAAGTTTTGTGTCATTCCAGTCTAATTTTTTTTCTTACATACCATGAGAAATTCACTTTCTCTAGGAAATGTTTGCTGTTCGTCACCTAAATGTGAAAGAATTTATAATTATATATGACAAATTTATATATGAAGAATGTATATATACATTATCACTGGATATGGATTTCAAATGACTATAGGTTTTCTTTTGATTTTGACTCCTTACTACCAAGAAATGCATTTTGATACTTAAGGACAACAGGACACAACTATGAGCCGAATTTCCATGGTATGCGTGAGTCATGTCGTGTCAGTGATTGTCAGTATAAATTATTCCCGTAAATATTAAAAATGGCATTTAGAAATTGCTTTGTTATTTTGGGGTGTCACTGCATCTGAAAATCGGTCAGAAAAGTTGTACTGCCCAGCAATCTTGTGAAATTTGTATTTTTGTATATTGTTTGTCTCACGTGTTATAATACTCAAATACTTACTATTAACACATGTATAACACATGTATTTAAGTGCAATTTTTTGTTGTACGGTTGAATTGATTCAGGCACTTTTAGGACACCGCGATAGTCAATGTTTAAATATTTTGGGGATTATGATATTATGATTCAAACTTAACGCCAAGTTTGGGGCTGTATTGAGGGAGTGCATTAGAAATCGGAAAATGTTTAAATGCGTTGAAAAGCAAGCCTTTCTGTAGTTTTGATGCAGTATTTTTAGTGTCTCAGTTGCAGTGTGTGTGTGTGGGTGCGTGCGCGCGCGCCTGAGAGCTGGTGTGTGTATGTATTTCATTTATTTAAAGGTACTAATGAAACTTTAAAATTTATGGGAATAGTAGATAAGCTTTTTTGTATTCGGATAAGCTGTTGTATTAGTTACACAATTTGCATAAGCACCTTATTCCCTAGTAATAATTGCGTGTTAGTGATGGGGACTTACATGTGAAGTACGATAACAGTTGCGTGAGATAGCAGTAACTTTGTTGTGTACTGAAACCAAAAGTTTTTTTTCTTTTAGCTTCCCTCTTTCTGTCTGTTTTTCAAGTGACTTTCAGTATTGGATAGCTTGTTCGTTAGCTGCTCTCATGCGTGTTTCAGGCTGGGAAGGACAGGCCTGGAGTTCAGCACTGTATTGATGGTGACTCGGTCTTTGATGCCTTTTTATAAGCCTGTTAAGTCTGTGGTCCCCGGCGGCGATTTGCTGCTGTCACTCGGGGTCAGCGGGCGGAGCACCGCCGGTTCCGCTCCATTACAGTCCGGTCCGGAGGGGAGCATCCGCACTTTAACCCACGGAGCAACTCTGCCCCCTAGTGGTTCACGATGTCAGCACAACTCGGGCTCAGAAGTGATAACTGCAGAAAGCTGCGTTTCTGTTGCTTGGCACAGCTGAGTTTTTAATAATGCATTTGTATTAAATAGTATCTCTTTGCTGTATTCAGACCCCAGAATTGCTACATTAATATAGCATAGTTGTCTCAAATTGGACAGACCATTTTCAGTATAGAAGACAAAATGTATCTTTTGTTCTTTTGCTTGTCAGCAAAGTTACGTTTTATATTCGCTAAGTTTAATAACATCAGCAGGAACTTTTAATTCTATCGTGGCAATGCCTTTCAAATAAACGTTTAAATCTGTATTGGCAGCCCAGCTTTTCGGATCCGCTGAGCTTTTTTATATATAATGTTGTAAAAGCAGTTCTCTTCCATTTTTAATATACCATAAGGTTTACAGGGCTTTTTTCATTTCCCAATTAGAGAACCCCTCGTGATATGCATAATTTAACAGAATATCCATGTTGTTCTTTATCAAAGATTTATGCATTTTAAATCCGCTACCTTGTACAGCCGAAGACAAGGTATTCATACAAGTGTACCATAAGGGACGCTGGTAGGTGTTTTGCATAAAGAAACAGCTAATTAAGCTCTTCTGAGATGGTGCTATGGGTGTCTGTGTCTTGCCAGTCTGAAGTGTTTTGGCTGAGTGGAGAATGCGAATGTCTGGTCCGCAAAGGGCCGCGGGAGCGTCCGCTGGGAGATCCGCTCTAAACGGTCCCCGTTTCTGTATCGAGAAGATGTAGCTTAAGAGATCCTTACTGTTACTCATTGTGCATGGAGAAGTACTGCTGCTGTTACAGTGATGCGGGGGGGGGGGCTCCCCTTTGGTTTGCGTTTTCCCCCGTCATGAAGCATTTCGTCTTAATGGCTTAAAATCGTCTCAGAAAGCCGTTACAGTACATATTCCTGTCTTGTACTGAAAGTGACCCCTCACAGTCGTTGGTGGGGAGGTCTGCTCGGAGCTATTTCGCAGATACACTGAGCAGCTGCCATCCGAAGTGATGTGCGCGGGGTGATGTGGATGTGAGAGTCAGTGCCGGCCTAATCTCTCCTCCTGCTGAGCAACGGCTGTAGGGAATATCATTAAAATTCACGCTCTGTCTTGCCCGCATTACACTTGAAAGAGTGAGATTGTTCTGGAAATATTGACACTGAGCAATTGGTACAATAAGATGAAGACCAAAAAGCTTCAGCTAGAGCACTATTTAAATCATTTCTAGGCACTTTATATAACATGTATCTTTGTGTAGGCAGTGTGTTTTTGATATCGCTATAAACATGACATGAGCTTATGTAAAAGTCTAATTGTTTTCGGAGAATGAAAAGGATTGGTTAAAAAATTAACGGTCTTCCTTTCTTTTCAAGCAGTTAAAATACTTGTGTATCTGATATACGTTTTTGTCATTGGAAAAATTGCCACAAGTATCGCATATTTAAGATTATGAATAATGAGTTTTCAAGAGGGTGGTCGAGCCAAGTACTAAAAAGCATCTGGGCCTTGTCGTTGTGTTGGTTTAATGTACTGTTTATAAATCTCCTGGGCTATGGATGCAGAGCTGTGACTACGGAGCACTGGATTGCTGCAGGACTATGTACGCTAAACCGTTCGCTAGGCGCTAAACCACTTTGGGTACTTCTAAGTTAGGCCTGAACATCTTTTCAATTCCTTCCTGTTTAGTCTTCCTCTGAGGAGGGAAAAGCGTCTTCTGTATATTGTTATTTTTTTCAGTGTTCTTCATTTTTTAATCCAGACTGCAGATAAAACATCTTGTTTTGTAGCACTAATGGGTTTCAAAGGTAACCTCTAATGGCCTCCCATCTTTCTGTCCAGATCTATTAAGCCAATCATATGTGTGTGAGTCATCTGTATTGCTGATTCTATGCTTTACTATGTAAGCCCAGTGTCTAAGTTAACGCTGTTGTACATAGCATACACGTAGACAGTAACTGTTGTGGTTGTATAAGCTGAAAGTTAAAAACCAATACAAGGACAATCGTGTCTAGGGGTGCTATTATTAGTCTGTATTCTATGTCATCTCTTGTATTGGCTAGTATATATTGTCTGTAACATGGAAAGAGAGAAACGGATCATTTCAATATTAAACAATATAGATATATATTATTCCAAACTGAATTTGTCCTGTGGTGATTTAATGTGGAAAAAGGCAGAAATCAAACGTTTCTGCATACAGTAAATACCAAATAAATTGGAGATATTTATGTTTGAAGGCACACATTTTGATGTGTTAGGATGTGTCTGACCTGTACTGCACGCCTCCGCCCTGTATTCACGCAGGAGAACCGTACATCTGAGATATGAACTTTCCGGTTGTTGGTGTAATGAACCATGCGAGTTTGTTGGAATCTTCCTGCACCACTTATGATCAGTCACTCACCAAATCTTCGCCTTCTTGAGTTATCCAATCAGAAGCATATTCTCCCCATATTCTCTCCCCCCACCCCCCATGTGTCTCTCTGATTCTCTTCTGCAGTCAAGGTGTTCAAAGCCAGCTCCTAGCCAGCAGGTCTTCCTTGGGAACTGTGCAGGTAAGCGTGTCTAATTCTCATTGGCTGATGGGGATCCCCTTGAAGGGGACTGTGATGTGAGTTATATGTGCTGTCATTAAGCAGCAGGTCTTTGCTCCTGAATTGATTAGCCTTGTCGAGTCCATTAGTAGGCATCCTGTTATGGAGGCTTGGCATTCAGTCCTGTTGTCTCACACAACTGTTAACGGGCAAGGATTAGCATTGGCAGGTAACGGGGGTTTTGGGACGATACGTGTAAACATCTCCCAATGAATTTTAATTACACACAGTGAAGCAGAATACTGCAAGACAGGACGTATATCTGCAGGAGAATACAGCAGTCAGACTACAAGTGATTTACAGCATTATGATTGATTGCCTTGTGTAGTTTTAGATGTTGAAACTATAAGGATTGGAGTGTGAGTTTAAAGATTCTTTTCGGCTGTAGCATTGAAGGTTTAACCTGAGAGTGTCTGCTTGAAAATATCCTTCACAACCAATAACAAAAGCAGCTCCCATTAGCTACATCGCTCTGTTCAGATATTACACTGATATACTCAGAGGAGATTCATGGAACACTGGGGGCCCCCAACGCACCCCACCCAACATGGTAAAATTTATGACCATTATTTTAGTGGGAGGTCTAGATTAATAATACCAACAAAGACAATTTAATAAATACAATTCATTTATTTTCACTTTACTGTGGAAAAACAGAATACACAAATAAGGCATATTTGTCGTTGCAGTGTAAAATGTAATCGACCCAGTGCAGGGGGCCCAGGCAATTGCCTGCCTTGCCTGTTCTGTCCCTACTCCTCAGGATATATTGCTCAGACTACTGTAATGCTAAATTAACAAACATATGCAATCCATATACACAATGTGAAAGATTTACTAAGGGTAAAAAAGTAAAAAAAAAACAAAAACAAAAAAAAAACATCTTTTTAATAACATCTAGATAGAAAAGTATATGATAATAGTGCTTCTTTATATGGAAAAAAACTCCTTAAGTCACTCATGCAGTATATTGTGGCTCCCTCTGCTGGCTAATTTGGAAAAGTTGTCTTCTGTTGGATTGTATCATTGGCTTTAATAGTCTTTAATTATAACATTTAATTATAATATAATTCACTGATAAAATGGGATAAAGAAATACAAATCTTTCTTTACCAAATGCCTTGTACTTTTACCAAAGGTAGGGAGTCATGTAGAGTCACTTTTAACACCAAGTGATGTCTGATTTGAACATGAAATTTTGTCACCCATAGTTGCTGTGAGAAACTGTCACCCGTTTAACTGCTTGAGAAATATTACTTCGATTGGTGCTTTCATCATTGTCTGACTACATACTAAAATACTTTGACTCTGTGAATTGGATTCGTATGTTGTTGTGTAGCGCTTGCTGCTATCAGGCAGTTAGCGGCCTGATTTATTAAAAGGGCTTTAATTGGGCACTTTATTTTTACCCATAACCCTCAGCAGAACTGTTCCCTTCCTCACCTCTGTGGTGTATCACTCCCATTTATTCCTCTGGCACCATTCTGCTTTTTAAATCAGTAGACAGGTGAATCTCAAAGCATGACTGGAAAGTGGGGGGGGGGGTCACAGCCTTTACTGGGATGAGGCTGTGGCACACTGCATAAAGTCCGATGACAGTGGGTGACGTTGCTGATTTTGTTCAGAAATCATTGGTGGTGCTGGAGTCACACTCCCTCATCAGTGGTGCCCAGTGAACAGATTCTGATCGATCCGATGGCCAATTAAAGGCAATCCACTGGTCTGGGTTTTAAGAGAGCACTTTAGTCTGACAGTAGGGGGCACTGTGGTGATTACATCTTTGTGAGGCGTTGGGTGTTGAGACGAGCTCCCAGTATGGTTGCACCTGACGCAAACTGAATTTCTCTCAGAATCCCATTCCAGTTCTCCTCCTCTTCATCATATCTGTAATATGTCATTCATTATAGTATAGTTAGCACTTATGCAATGTTTTAGTTTAGAAAAATAAACATTAATGTGAACTTGAGTATCAATGCAAACATGAAAGCTGGGCTAAATGACTATGAAATGATGGATTTGTAATTAAAATGCATTCTGCCCTCTTATTCCAGTTATGCACAAAATGTAACTAAATAGCATATCATGAAATTTATATGGATCAGGGCAAAGCAGTGAGGAGAATAATACATTTCACCAAACTGTGGCTTTTTCTGTGTTGACTGGAAGGTTTTGTAAATCCAAAGTAAGATTTTCCTTGTAATTTTTTTCTCTGAATGAGTGTTTGTCCTCCTGCAGCAACTGATATAAGCCTAGTAATTAGCAGAGCTAATCATGTTCCTGGGTTGTTTTTGTTTTTGCACATGAAAAGTGGGACTGGGCCTTATTCCCTTTTACACATGTGTGCCAAGTGGGAATGAGGTTGGATTTGCTTGTTGTTCCATTACACTTGGGAACCAGGGTATGCAAGGTGCTATGAGGGGTATTAAGTGGTTACAATACCATTAGACTGAGAGATGTGGAACATTTGACTTGCAAAGGCTAAGCAATTTTCATTTTATATGGACAAAACTCTGGCCTGTTGGAGAAGTCTCTGCTTGTTTTTTGCTTTTACCACAGTTCCAAAGAGAATTCTTATAAAATGTCAAGTCCAGAATGTTTTTCTTTAAGACTCTGAATTGACTATCATAGTAGGTATTGGTATGGCTTACATGACTCGACAATGGACAACAGGATGAATGCTCTAGATCAGAGGTGTCAAACTGCAGTCCTGGAGGGCCGCAGCCCTGTGTAGCTTAGTTCTTTCCTTGTTCCACCACAAATGATTCAGTTCAACAGCTATGTGGTAATTAGCACAAGAAGTCGAATCAGGTGTGTTAAACGAGGGGCAACCCAAAAATGTGCAGGGCTCTGGCCCTCCAGGACTGGAGTCTGACCCCTGTTCTCTAGATCGGTGTTTCCCAAGCTGGTCTATTGGGACCGACAGATGGTGCACAATTTTGCTTCCTCCCAGCTCCCTGCCAGACAGTCCACATTTTTGCTCCCTCCCAGCTCCCGGAGTAAAAACGTGAACTGTCTGCGGGTCCCTGAAGACTGGATTGGGAAACACTGTTCTAGGTAATAATTGCCAGTTTGAAGTAGCTGTCAAGATGCAGTTCCACATGCAGAGAGATGGGGGTAGAGTTAAAAATAAGTTAAATGATCCCAGGTAAGTAGGACAGCCATGTCTCCCCTAAATCCATCAAAACAAATCTATACCCTATTAAAGCAAACCTGTAACAGCCAAGCCAGGTGATGTGGTAAATACAGGTTAATCCTATAGCCAATGGGGGAACTTATTGAATGACCATGTGACTCACTTCCAGATGTCGTTCATTTCGGTGGGTTTGTATTCCTCATTGTTCTCGGTGGGCATCAGGGCAAAGCCACCCACCGCATAGAGAGAGCCATCCAAGGATGCCAGGTTCAGGGAGCTGCGTTCCTGCGGGAACTCTATGAAGTCGGACCACCTGGAACACATGTAGCTCTTGGTCATCAGAGCTTCCTTCTGGTCTGTTGCTTGAGCCATCAGACTCAGAGTTGCCCTCTACTCCCAGATGACACGATGCCCTCCTGCACCTTAGGTACACCCTGGAAGTCTTGCTCTAGGACACGGTAATCATGTTAGATCTTTGAGCCAAGCTGCTTTTCACCTGCCCCCAAACATCCTGACTCACTTGTTTTTGGCGATGTCATAGACCTCCGCTGTGTTTGTCAGGCCTGAGTCCGTGACTCCAGCTATCACATAGATCTTGCCCTGATGCACCGCTACACCGAACAATGAGCGGGCAGTCTTCAGGGGGGCCAGATCCTTCCACTCAAACTTCATTGGATTGTAGACGCACACCCTTCTCATGCATTTTCTACGCATTGGTGAGATGAGTAAAGTCATTATTTCAAGGGTCAAAACAGAGATTCTCAAATGATGGGTTTGTTTGAAGCTTTATATGTATGTCTTAAGGTTCTGGTTGGATTTCACATTTTTGAATTTTAATCCAAAGCAATATTGTAACATTTTTACATTATCATGCAGGAAAAGTGTCCATTTCTGTCCCTTATGCCAGAATCATAAGCAGACTTACTTCCCTTCTCCTTTTCCTCCGATGACATAGACTAGCCCGTCATGTGACACAGTACCATGACCGTACACTGAGTATGGAAGTGGGTCCGAATCCCCCCACTTGAAGGACCTGAAAGCAGGAAATCCATAAAAAATGTCAGTGACAGCATTGTGAAATGATATTGACCTCACTACTTTTTAATCTTAGATATTTGATCTTTGTTCATAGATGTTATTTTAGCCCTGATAAAAAAAAAAAATGTCAAAGTGCTGATCTTAAAGTGGCCAGTTGTGTGCTTTCCCCTTTAAACTATTGACATGTTGATGTTTGAGGAATTAGGAATTCTCTGTACTGCTACATGCTTTTTATTAGCTGTGTTAAGGAGCATGTAATCCTGGAAGTAATCATCAGAATAGTTCCAGTTTACGTTGATTGAGGTTGTCATTCTGATTCGTCATTCTGATTCATCGCCGGCCAGTCAGGGCCAATCAGTGATGCGCTTTGAGTGCAGGGCTATGGCAGGTCCACTCACTGTCGATCGTAGATCATGACCGAGTCCAGGCTGTGCTCTCCCTCTTTCAGCTCCTTGCCACCAACAACGAAGATGGAGTTCGCTGCCTCGGCCATTCCGAAGAGGCAGCGGGGGGAGGGAAGAGAGGGCATCCCCAACCATTCGGAGCTCACGGGGTCAAACTGTGCGACAACAGGGTCAGGTCACATTTCATGGGGTCATGATTTTTCCCCTAAAAAGAGTACGACTTTTACAATATTCTACCATAACAAGAAAATACAATAGTTTTGTAATCTTGATCAGGGTTTACACTTCTTCCCAGTCAGGGTGACAGGGGCATCAGGAGCCAATTATTGATCCTTGTTGTGTTGCAATTGTCATTTATCTCTTGGTTTGGGATATACATTTTTATTATTAACAAATAAAACTGAATATAACTCCTGTTATTCTATCAAGTGAGTCAAATGTAGCATTGTCAGCCATTGGTAGGTGTTTAGACTACCTTAAAATTTAGACCTGCCCTAATCAGAATTCTGCAAGGAATTAGAGTTTGAATTAGAATGTGGGGTTAGCTGGGGAGAGGGAGGTCTGGGTGCCTCTACTGAAGCTGCTACCCCCACGACCCGAACCCCGGACAAGCGGCAGATGATGGATGGATGGATGGATGGATGGATTAGAATGTCTTTATTATCAGATAACTTCATTGCGTTTCATCGTAACTTATTAAGTTATCAAAATTGCACACTGACTCACCAAAACAAAGGCTTGGATTTAAAAAGAAAACATTAGTTAACATGATAAAAGCAAATATACACTTCTGTTTGTGGGGATTATAAATCTAAGCAGACTCAGTCTACACACATAGAATACATCTATAAACAGCTTTTTTTTTCATAAAAATACTCTCTAATGATGGCATACCTGTAAGAAATAGGAGCTGATTGGTTCGTCTTTGTCTCCCTCATTGTAAAAAAGCCCCCCGGCCACGAAAATCTGGTTCTCCTTAGTCAGCAGGCTGCAGTGGTTCTTTGGTATCTTTGTGGATGTAGAGGCGATGTAGCATTCGTTCCCTGCTGGGTCGTAGGCCACCGCTCCAGTGTCGCTGATCATCAGCATCAAGGTTTTGAGGAACATGCCGAACCGTAGGTTGTCATTGAGGATCCCTGGGAGCAGGCCCTCCTCATCATATCCTCTCTCACCTCCACTAGTGTCAGACGTCTTGCCCTTGGACATTTTCACCTCAGGTAGTTTTCCCTTGTATGCATCCTTGACTAGCTCCAACTTCTTGATGATCTCTGGGTTGGACTTTATCCACTGGTGTTTCTCCACCTTTTTGGAGAAGTAGTCGAGGGGTATCAAACGAAAGCGTACACACTCAAGGAGGTCTGGCAGGTCCTTAAGCCTGTCCTCCTTATCATGGCCCACCCAACTCAGTATTGACTCAAAGACCACCTCCTCTTTATCCACATTGAGGGAGTCACACGTAATGATAGCAGCCAGCTCAACTGGGCCCAGCTGGTGGAAGTCATCGTCCCGAACTATCAATTGATAGCGATCGCAAATGAAGTCCCGGGCATCAATGGCCAACTGGGGGCAGTCTAGGAGCAAACCCAGTCGGAATATGGCTAGGCAGTTGCTCAGGCCCAGTCTCTGCTTGAGGAAGGAGACGCAGACAGTAAACAGTGATGGAATCTGGAACATATTGGCCACGCTGAAGATGTCCTGTACGTTTTCTTCCGTGAGGTTGATGTCTGAGGTGTAGATGTATCTGAGAACTATTCCCATGATGCTTGGTTCTACATCCTCCAGAACAATCTCCCGCTTCTTGCTCTCTTCTAGGTCTGACAGGAACATGGCCTTGAAGTAAGGGCTGCAGGCTGCCAGTACCAACCGATGACAAGGAAACTCACTGTCCTTGATCTTTAGAACACAATCCACAAACTTATCATTCTCCAAAAGGTCACAGAGCCCATCCTGAAGCAGCGTCTGCTGGTACATCCGTGGTTCCTCCATTGGATTTACTGTCAGTGCCATCTTAAAAATTAAGCTGATTTTAATTCGCTTGATTTAAAAGGATAATGGTGGACCTCCCGATAGCTCTCCACTGCACAGCAGTAGCCCAGTCAAAGCCCTACGCAGAAAGAAGAAGAAGGCTTAAGCGGGATTTTGCCCCCCGAGCCCAGAGGTACTAATCTCATCAGCTGTTTCAACCTTTCAAACTCCAACAGGGGTTTTATTTATAGACCTTCAGTTAAAAAAAAAAAGTCAGTGACATCCATATTGGTGCATGTGAAACATGACACCCCAGCTCCCCGCCCATCAGGGTGCTCTTGTCTTCAGAAAGATCACCTCCCCCCTGCTCCTCTCTCAGTCGCTTCACTGAGATCATCTACACAAAGGGGGCCTCCCACGGGGAGCCCATGACATCACAATCTAATTCTGGTGTCCCCCTCTATGCACTAATGACCACCCTCCACGTGTGGGGGTGTATTAATTGGCCCAATATTCTGTATGATGTGACTCAGTGTAAAATAATGATGTGACTGGATATTTGAAAATGCGTTATATTAAAGCGTGAGCAATGCAATTAGCACTACAGAATTTTATGCGAAGCTAAATGAGAGGATTTATGATGGATCAAATCGACTATTCTCATTTATAAATTAGCAAAAGGATTCTTTTTTTTCTTTTTGTGTAAAAGCCGTATTGTTCTTTGTGAAAGGAAAAGGAATTTATCAAGGAATTTCATGTGTATTTGTCCATTTAAGTTCCATGCCATGACTTATCTGGTGTTTCGAGGTAAATATACATATAGTGATTCTGATATTTGGTTAGCTGATTACATATTTGTTTATAGTTATAGCTGTTTTTCTGCACGGATGTGATTTGTTCTTGTTTTGTGATACGGTGTCTCAGGTGTGATTCTTTTGTGATTCATTGTACAACCCATTAGGTCCATTAATTTGGTGCATTTTGGTGATTGAAGATGTAACTATATAATGAATTTTCCTGCCAGATCATGTCCATGCCCCGATCAAACATGGAAGCAACCCTATAACTTAGACAAAAGGGTCTGTGTACTTCTGCTTGTTTCCCCATACCAGGGGTTTGTATCAGAAACCAGATTTGTTGGTTAACTTGTCAGATTTAAGGTACTCCAGTTTAAAGGGACTTCATCTTCGTTCACTTATATTTAGTCCAGACTACCTTAAATTTAACATGCTATCCTACTAACCCAAAAAACCAGCTTTGTGATACAGACTCCAGGTACTACGGCAGATACAAAGCCCACTCTTGTAGTGTTTAGTCAGGTCTGTCACTGTTCTGGGGCAAACGCAGACCACTGGGTCAGAGTGTTGGCATTGCTCACCACATGTGGTGAAGCCACAAAGGATGATGGGGAGACTATGAACGTATCTGTTGACCTCTGTGGTAATCAGATCTGATCACACGGTGTTTAGCTGTGGGCTGTTCTTCCCCAGACTGCATGCTCACGTCACTTAGATTAAAGGTCAGACAGCGTGATGGAGGACTGAGGACTCGCTAACAACGGATAACACTGTAGGAAGCCTTACAAATGTAGGAATTAGCTATAATAAACTGTTACTGGATGAACTGGGGGGTAGTGTGTGTCTTACCTAGGCAGCCAAAGATATTCCAAGGCCTTTTTTTTCTTTAGATTTCTTTGCATTGTCAATGTACAGCATAATAATAGTACTCAGGCTTTTTTTCAGGGATTTTTGAGTTTAAACATTGATGGCAAACAGAATACAGACACAACTGGACATTTTTTAAGTCTTTAATATATTAATCTGTTTTATTCTCTCATGTACATAATATATTTAAATAGAACTTGGTAGGTATATAAAACCAACCAGATTTCATTTCTGTGTTGGGTTGGGGGGGGGGGGTGTTTAAAACAGTAAAAAGGTGGGTTTCTCATACCTGGGGGGTTTT